CATATTATAGTTCTGTTCACTTCCCCAAAATGCAAATATTCAATTCAGATGCAAACGGTTGGTAACGTTACCACGAACGTCAGGAGTTCAGAATCTGAGGGGCTTTCTGCAGCAGCATGCGCACGCTCCGTGTCCTACCACACTTTGGTGGGTAGATTAAAATAAGTAAAGTCTGGTTATCTTATTATCAGAAGTGTTGAGCTACGGACAAAACCTTCACCCTAGCCGGGACTCGAACCCGAATGCCCATAACTCAGCGTGCTTGCGATAACTTTCACATGGCAAACTGTGGTCAAGAACAGCAGTTAACAATTGAAACAAGTTAAAAATTGATGACCTTGGCCTCCGTTCGCTTTGGAATGCATGGGATATATTTTGCGGAGGCATCCATTTGTTTCTACCTAGTAGTATATTCGTTTCGAGAGCGATTTGAACAGTTCTAACATTCTAACTTTCTCTCCATCTTCGCTGTCAGCCATCTTTGTGAGATACGATTATTACTGGGGACTACTGCCAACAGTCTGGCCACTGCGATACTTAACAAGAGTCGGAATCATTTCGAAGAACAAAAAAAAACTAAAAAAAAACATATTTTGATGTATTTTCTGATTTTTGTACATAAACTTCGTTATAGCATGCCGAGGATACTTCTAGTGCGGTCAACCGACGCAGCTCATCAAATATCATTGTGGAACACGATATTGCAGGAAAAAATAGTTCCATCCCTCGTATTAGCATGGTAATTTTACAAATTGTCTTCAATTGTCTTACTACAGTCCGTTTCAAGAGTATAATGGCACAATTGAAAAGCCGCTCCGATTTCGGATGAAAGGATGGCATGCTACCTACTGTATTGGCTTCTGTGCAGTGACACTATAGTACACTTCATTCCAAAAAACTTCATATCCTGGAAATTTATCTTATTTAATCCTATTTTTATAAGAAAATTTCGAAATTCTTTGTTTCAAATGTGTAAGGATACACCCTTGATGAGAGGAGTTCAACTGAAATTTTTTTCTCACCAGTTCATTTGCGATTCTATGGCAATGCTTGGTTAGCAAAGGCACGTATCATTTCTTACGTAGATCTGCACATTATAGGAATCCTGTCCGGAAAAATCTTGCATTCTTTCCCAACACGCATATGTCAGTTGTGATCACTAGAGACAACATACAAAGTTTCACGCACAAAGATTCAGTTTCCGAAGAGAAACAAACTTACAAAAACCACACTGGACAATCGAAGGTAAGGGCGCGGAGCCAAAGGCGGGGCATGGAAAGAAGTCCGCCTTGGGGCGGCTACGTATCAGGCGACGCAATGAAAGAATCGGGTTAAAGCGTGCGATTTTGGAGAGTAGAGACAAATCGATCGATAGAATAGGATGCAGTAGAAGTGTGAGATGCAATAAGTCAAAAGGCCAGAAAGAGTTTCTAGTGAGGCACTCCAAGAACCAAGTGGAAGCATTCCCGTCGCCAGCATTTGTGACAGATGTCCGGCGGTACTTTGAACGCGTAGCAGCCCTTTCGGTTTTTCGATTTTTTACCAAAACAAATGCAATTTTTGTTCTTTTCGTTGTTATTAACCCATAACGGACGGCCAGTGTATTTGTTCGCGTGCGCCACCATGTGGCGCACGCCGCCACCCAGGGTAGGGTTTATGTAGGCTTATGTGAACAGCAGGGGTAAGACGGGGCTAAAGTAGGTGTCGGAGTCTCATCATCCGAAAAAAGAGATTTCCGTTGACGACAAGTTCGTAGCCCGCCTTTCCGCTCTAAAACTAGGGTGCAAAGAATGAATGGAAGCTGTAGGTGACATTATCGAAAAATGCGAAACAACAACCCCGAGCAAGGATGTGGCTATATTTAGGGGAAGGGGTCTCGGGACGTGCGAACCATGGGTAAGCCACCCATCAAATAATAAATTAAGACAAAATGTATGTAAAATTTATTGTAGGTTTGTCAAAAATCCAGCCGTCCAGGTCCTGGGAAGATATGTTATTCCACATTGCTGAGAGTATATATGGGTATATTAAGATTGCTAGAAACATTCCAAAAACAAAAGAAATAGTCGTGCGCCACCTTGTGGCGCACGCCGTCCGTTATGGGTTAAAAGCCATTCTGCTGTCAGCTAGACTGGTCACCTCACCCTTTCCTGCTAAAGTAAGTCAGCGGACGATTTCTTCGTAGTTGGTCAGCGTAAAGTGAAAGTCTCCACGCGAGCGATATCAGTCTACTTAATGATCTGTAAGTATTGATTGTTCAATTAAGTTAACTGTAATGACTTACCGCGAACCTTCCGCTGTACCCTTGTTTCAAAAGGCATGGCTTGGTCTTATTGTGGTTGTTTGATAGGCTTTCGAATTTACCACTTTCTATCCATTCCTCTTTTTAATGGAGCTGTGATTGATAAATGCATAGCGGTGAAGGTCTAGTTTTTCTTCTTAAATCATACCGTTGAGAAGTATCACCGTATTATCGAATTTTTCAGAGTAGGAATTCCCCAGAAAACCTAGTTGCTGATACAATACCGCTCGCCAGTATGGAAGACTTTCGCTTTGAAGCGGGCCGCGATCAGGTAGTTTTTGATCACGTTACCCTAAATTTCCTATATATTCTTTTAAGATCCACAACTGTGCTAAGTGTTATGTCCGTTTAGCTGTTGCAAAAATGAGCTTGTTGGCTACTTTCCTCACTAAAGCCAAACAGCATTTCGAAAACTCTATACAGTCTTCTTTCTAAGGCTGTTCATCGCATTGTAGGTGCAGGAGGTCAGCAGTAATCTCGAAAGTGTCAAACATTCCATGAATCCTAACGAATACAAAGAAACTGATTCGACCAGCACTACGGTATGTCGCTCTCAGGAACAGCCACACAATTACAGGATACCTTCAGATTAACGAGCTTTTTCTATTGGCATATTATAGTTTTGTTCACTTCCCCAAAATGCAAATATTCAATTCAGATGCAAACGGTTGGTAACGTTACCACGAACGTCAGGAGTTCAGAATCTGAGGGGCTTTCTGCAGCAGCATGCGCACGCTCCGTGTCCTACCACACTTTGGTGGGTAGATTAAAATAAGTAAAGTCTGGTTATCTTATTATCAGAAGAGTGTTGAGCTACGGACAAAACCTTCACCCTAGACGGGACTCGAACCCGAATGCCCATAACTCAGCGTTCTTGTGATAACTTTCACATGGCAAACTGTGGTCAAGAACAGCAGTTAACAATTGAAACAAGTTAAAAATTGATGACCTTGGCCTCCGTTCGCTTTGGAATGCATGGGATATATTTTGCGGAGGCATCCATTTGTTTCTACCTAAGTATATTCGTTTCGAGAGCGATTTGAACAGTTCTAACATTCTAACTTTCTCTCCATCTTCGCTGTCAGCCATCTTTGTGAGATACGATTATTACTGGGGACTACTGCCAACAGTCTGGCCACTGCGATACTTAACAAGAGTCGGAATCATTTCGAAGAACAAAAAAAAAACTAAAAAAAACATATTTTGATGTATTTTCTGATTTTTGTATATAATATAAACTTCGTTATAGCATGCCGAGGATACTTCTAGTGCGGTCAACCGACGCAGCTCATCAAATATCATTGTGGAACACGATATTGCAGGAAAAAATAGTTCCATTCCTCGTACGTAATAACTTCGTATAGCATACATTATGTTTCAATTGTCTTACTACAGTCCGTTTCAAGAGTATAATGGCACAATTGAAAAGCCGCTCCGATTTCGGATGAAAGGATGGCATGCTACCTACTGTATGGCTTCTGTGCAGTGACACTATAGTACACTTCATTCCAAAAAACTTCATATCCTGGAAATTTATCTTATTTAATCCATTTTTATAAGAAAATTTCCGAAAGTCTTTGTTTCAAATGTGTAAGGATACACTTGATGAGAGGAGTTCAACTGAAATTTTTTTCTCACCAGTTCATTTGCGATTCTATGGCAATGCTTGGTTAGAAGGCACGTATCTTATTACGTAGAATCTGCAATATTCAGGAATCCTGTCCGGAAAAATCCTGCATTCTTTCCCAACACGCATATGTCAGTTGTGATCACTAAGACAACATACAAAGTTTCACTCCCACAAAGATTCATTTTGCCGAAGAAAAACAAACTTACAAAAAACCACACTGGCAACCGGAAGGTAAGCGGCGCGGAGTCAAAGGCCGGGCAGAAGGGAATTCGCTTGGCAGGCGAAACACGTATCAGGCGACGCAATGAAAGAATCGGAATAAAGCGTGCGGTTTTGGATAGTAGAGACAAATCGGTCAATATAATAGGATGCAGTAGAAGTGTGAGACTGCAATAAGTCAAAACGCAAGGAAGAGTTTCTAATGACGAAACTCCGAGAACCAGGTGGAAGCATCCGTTGCCAGCATTTATGACAGATGCCCGGCGTACTTTGAACGCATAGCAGCCCTTTCGGTTTTTCAGACTTTTTACCTAATCATAACTCCTTGCTCTTTCGTTCTTATGCGTAAACGTGTTCCCAAGCCACGTGAATAGTGGCAGCACACAGTCACGATTTTCTTAGCAGGATTTCTTTGAGCTGTCCATCTGAAAATGAGTTCGTGCGAAATTCAAATGCTTCACAGCTGCTATGTGGCCTATCTATCTCCTTGTGTATCAGCGAAATCTAACTTCCATTGAAATAGCAGCATGAAGCCAAAGGTGTGATTAATTACGAAGTAAATGTAAATTGAAATTTATACTTCTAGTGCGGTCAACCGACGCAGCTCATCAAATATCATTGTGGAACACGATATTGCAGGAAAAAATAGTTCCATCCCTCGTATTAGCATGGTAATTTTACAAATTGTCTTCAATTGTCTTACTACAGTCCGTTTTAAGAGTATATATGGCACAACTGAAAAGCCGCTGTCCGATTTTGGATGATGGTGCATGCTACCTACTGTATTGCCTCTGTGCAGTAACACTATAGTACGCTTCATTCCAAAAACTTCATATCCTGGAAATTTATCTTATTTAATCTATTTTTATAAGAAAATTTCGAAATTCTTTGTTTCAAACGTGTAAGGACACCCTGGATGAGAGGAGTTCAAACGAAATTTTTTCCCACCAGTCATCTTGGGCGATTCTATGGCAATGCTTGTCTAGCAAAGGCACGTATTATTTCTTACGTAGATCTGCACATTATAGGAATCCTGTCCGGAAAAATTTGCATTCTTTCCCAACACGCATATGTCAGTTGTGATCACTAAGAGACAACATAAAAGTTTCACGCACAAAGATTAATTTTTTTGCGAAGAAAAACAAACTTACAAAAATCCCACTGGGCATGGAAAGCGGTCCGCCTTGGGGCGGCTAACGTATCAGGCGACGCAATGAAAGAATCGGGTTAAAGCGTGCGGTTTTGGATAGTAGAGACAAATCGATCAATATAATAGGATGCAGTAGAAGTGTGAGACTGCAATAAGTCAAAAACGCAAGGAAGAGTTTCTTAATGACAGAAACTTTGCGACCGCGAACCAGGTGAAAAGCATTCCCGTTGCCAGCATTATGACAGGCTTCCCGCGGTAACTTGAACGTATATCGAAAGCCTTTCAGTTTTTTAAGACTTTTTAGCCTTTAATCTCATATCTATTGCATATTTTTCTTTGTTCTCTTTTCGTGCTGCGTCCGTGTACACTGGTTGAGTTATGTAGGAGGGGGGGAGAGGGGTGCGTAACAACACGTTCTAAACTCTCTAGTTTTGGGCGCCGCTGCGTCGCTCGAAATCAGGGGTGGGATTGAGGAGAAACTAAGATTTCGTGGGTAGTAGGTTGTGCGAGTAGAGGGCGCGCAAGATAAAAATTTGCCGTTTCAGCCGGTGTATATACCCCCCTAGAAAAGGAAACAGTGAGATTATAGGTAGAAATAGGGTAAATTGGTTGAAAATTTAGGGAATTATGGGAAAATTTTTACTGTTTCAGAGGGAGTATATACCCCCCCCCCGCTCGACGGCATTTTTGGAGGAAAAAGTGGGCGGAGTTTTGAGGGTTGAGTGGTAGTGGAAGTTAATGTTATAGAGAGGAATATGGTGGTCGAGGGTGTGGAAGGGGGTCGTACCAAATCCACCTTGGGGGAGGGGGGTCGTAAAAATTTTTTCGAAAAGTAACAACGATAGGGTTGAACTCCTGTCCCAAGCAGAGTCAACCCTGCGTTGCGCAGTTCTCAACGGCCACGTTGCGCAGTTTCGCCCGATTAGACACGTTCTCTCGCGCGAACATTCACACTCGCATGCTCGAGCCGTCTGTGTCTCCGCCCATACAGCGTGCGTTGAGGATCTCTCAACGTGCCGTTGCGAACTGCGCAACGCAGGGTTGACTCTGGCAGTGAATATGAGCTACAATCACGATTTTACTTAGCAGGATTTCCTTGAGCTGTCCATCTGAAAATGAGTTCGTACGAAATTCAAATGCTTCACACAGCTGCTATGTGGCCTATCTATCTCCTTGTGTATCAGCGAAATCTAACTTCCAATCTAATAGCAGCATGAAGCCAAAGGTGTGATTGATTACGAAGTAAATGTAAATGAAATTTATACAAAGCATGAAACAAATACTTAATCAAAGGGAGGGGCTTTTTTAAGACGAAGTTTGTCTTTCGTTTCGCACGTGCCCTTATACGGAAAACAAACTGACACCGATATCCTCCCTCCGTGCTCTTCAGTAAGGAAGAGCTTTTATCTTAAAGCTCATATCTACCTTTATCAAGGTGCTGCGTTCCAGTCGCTATCAACGTCCCTCAACGCCATGAGAGTCTTCGCTTCTCCTCATCGCCGAATCGCATTCGAAAATTGTTAGTTTATGTTAGCTATACAATATTGTGGCGGAGTCGCTGTTATTGAGTTCCACTATTGGGTAGCGCTTCCGAACAACTCTCCATCGAAATTAGCTCAAAGGAACTAAAGTTTAGAGTGGTATTCAGCAGGTGATTCTACAGAGCAGGAAGGTGCTTTCGTTATGGCAACTAGTTAAGCTCTTTCTAGTATGACTTTTTTCGATTAGAATACATTTGATTAAGTACTGGTTGAATATTACAAGGATTCCAAAGTGTTCCACTGGGTTTTCAGCCATGGGAACTTCGTTGGCTTGTTCCAGATAGTCTGCGTTGGCATGATACAACACTACAGTACATATGCTCTGTTCCTCTTGTAATTGTGTAAACGGACTCCAGCGAGTCTCAGGATCTTCTTGTGATCATTTACTGCCGCTTCCAGCTGCAGATCATCCTTAGAATTTCATCGTCATTCACGACACGCAGCAACCACTGCGGTCGACCCGCTCAACAGTAGCTTAGCATCAACGAAATCAATGGAATGGATTGGTTCGCCTGTAGTTTGGTTCCAGTTCTTATAGAATTTACCTGGGAATTCTCAATAGGCAGATCTTCATTGGTGGCAAGCTTTGAAATATTGTGGAAGATTTCAGGTGTACTATCGAGACGTCAAAATCCTCTGGTCTAGGGCGGCTTGATGCATTCGAAGGGGGGCATTTAACACATAAACGACGGGTGGCGCGGTTTAGCGCGCCTCTTCTTGCCATCACGTTGGACATGCGCGTGGCGCGTGCTCCTTCTCTTCAAAGCCATGCCTTTTTCGCGATTGCGCGACTTACTCCCAGATAAATCGTATTTATTTCATGGATCACATCATTACATAGTTGTCAGTGACATGGTTCCCCGTTTGGTCAAGTATGCTTCACTTTAGCAGAGCTTCTCCAGGTCTTACAGATATGTCTGTTCAGTGCTGTCCTTGTTTTCTTCCTTTCGTAACCGTGTGAAGGAAGCCTTGCATAACCACGTCAAAAATACTATTGACGTCCATCACAAAGAAAAAGATAAATTTGCTTTTTATGGACAATACACGTTCTTTCGATCGGAATTTCACCACTGTAGCCCCGAACTTCTACGCATTCGATGTTGCTGTAGTAGTTAGTTTGGGTCACTCATATTTTGAATAGTTATTACTCTACCAGTTGGCGCCGCACGCATTGCGCGCGCAACACAGATCTGAATTTTGATGGTGCGACAAAATTTTTCACTTTCGCTTTTCTCCCAACCGAGTTATGAAATTTTTTTTTCATAAAGCACTGCTTTTTAGAGAACGCCCCGCCCACCGGGGTGGGTCTCCCTAATTCGATGTGACTTACCAATGCACACCTTTACCCACTTTTTGGCCCAGTTTCGAGGTCGTTTTGTCACTGAAATCGAAATCTTGGTCTTCGGTACAATTCATTTCGACGCACGCCACGCCCTCTGTGGGCGGGGCTCCGCTTAGCTGATGTGTGTTTTGTATTACGTGAGACCCTGCCACCCATCCCACACTTGACCCGATTCCCTCAGGCGATTCCCGGAGGAGCTAAGGGAAATTTCGGACCCCTGATCAGAACATACAGACAGACGACAGACGAAGCGCTTAATAGTAAGTAGGATTTAGGCGGCAAGGCTGCCGTGCTCGCAAAATCGTTCTTGTCTCACTTGGCCAGAAACTGAAACGGGCGCTGTCATTGACCTCTTAATTTTTCTTAAATGTTACCGTTACCGATATCGCTATCTGAAATGAAGTCTACTATGGTTTTAGAGCATCCTGAATTCAATGAGGTGGTAGCAAACCACAAATTCTTCATTCTAACTCGTAAGACCAGTTTGAGGAGTGACCTTGTGCTTTTGTGACACTGCATTTGTCAGAATGCGAACATTTCCATTCGCTTACAATGAAGCGAATGAGCGTATTAGTCCTCGAACTCAGCGAGTCGAATATTAGAAGTGGTTCCTATTTTGTCATTTTTGTTTAGCTTTCTTCCCATGGATCACTGACCGCCAGGTCTCCGATTCAATGTGCTACTGTGGAAACTGCAGTGTATCCATCCGAACCTGATTTAAAGACAGCGTTGGAGGTAGTCTATTCTGATAAGCAGTTTCTGAGTGAAGCAGCCTTCTTTGCTTCAGCACCATAACGACATTACTGTGGGTAAAGCAAATGTGATGGATGTTCTCGATTCCCAGCCTGTTCTTCCTCAACGACGTGTTCGTTCCTTATCACAGGTATGTTATCGAATAGCTCTTGTGTGATTAAAGTACTCTAGATCATTTTCAATAGAGTGAGGATAGTGCCATCCATTTTGTGCACTTAAGTCCAAGTCTGCCTGACATCGATGAAAAGGCAAGCCATAGTTGTCCAACTTGTGGGAAACCAACCAACTCCGAGATATGATATGATAACATAAGATGTGCCTCTCGTGTCCCCAACTGTCTGGTACGTAGTATGAGAACGACCGGACTGGTACATGCAATTGCCGCTACCGTTACCTCCCTTCTTTACTTCAAAGATAGTTACTGAGTGTCACGGCCAGCAGCAAACAGTCAGCTATCCAAGTAAGGAGGTATGTGTTGTGCTGCTGTACATCCTCAGCTCTACTGTGTTTCTCATTGTGCCTCTTCAAGTGATTGGTTGTGATTTTTGCATCTTTGAAATGCGAACATTATTTCAGCAGGTTGTCGTTAAGGATTAGTAGTATCACTTCATTGTATAAACCAGAACTTTGGTGTGTCGGTTTGTCGGTGTGTGTGTCGTTCTGTCCGTCCGGACCAACCGCTAACAAAACCAGGGAGTACGAAGGGCAACACTTCGTGATGTTGATGTCATGATCATGATAACACCCACAGCGGCTATATAAACACCGATCGAACACAGTCTCATTCTACATGGTGCTGCCGTGGCAGCCGAGGGGAGGTAGAAGGGAGAGGGGTAGGGGAGGAAAGAGAAAGGGCAGGAAGGGGAGGGGTAAGAAAGGGGATAAGCAGGGGGAGGAAGGGGGAGGAGTGCACCGCTTTCAAGATTACGGTTCGATCCGGTGTTGAGGTATTATTGCAACGTGAGTGATAATACCTCAACGGCTATAAACACCTACTTAGTACACTTTCAGTCATTTCACAAGGTGCTGCAGTGGCAGCTGGAGAGCAGTAGGGGGAGGAGGGGAGGATAAGGTGAGGAGGAGGATCGCCAGCTTCGCAGGGAAGGAGGGTCCGGCGGTTGCCGGGGGACCAATTTGGTCTTATTAGACAGCAAATACAGCTCAGCTGTTGGTGGTCTTCTGAACACTGATTACAGAGTAGTGCCTTTGGCTGTCTACAATGACAGCTGGGTATCGATAGGTACTTAAACGGAATTGTCCTGTTGCTTACAAATGAACGCTCTGTTCTCTCATTCTATACAGTTCCACTATGCTTTCCAGTACCTAAGAGCTTCAGTATTTTCAGAGTCTGGCAAATGCTAGCGGTGGTGGAAGTCCGAGAGGTGGGCTCTACGACCGATTTTTATAGTGCTACGCTCAAACTGTGAGCTGTAAAATACTATATCCCGATGAAGGTTACAGGTTTTCTGTTCTTTAGAAGAATGGCGCTCAAGTATGAAACAGTCTTTTGTCAGAGTTAGTGAAGAAGAAAGAGATGATTCTGCTGGTGGTGAAGAGGTAACTAGAACAAAGATGCGGCTCTTGTCTTACATTCTCTCGCTCTTTTTTAAGGTTCAGATCAGATCCATTCATAACGATGGGCATTTCAACAATCATCGTCTGAGCAAGGTAGTTTCATTCAAATATTTGCGACAAATTCCTTCCAATAGTCCTTTGAGATATGTCAAAATTGCAGTCCTGTTGCTCTTAATGCCCTGTTACATAAGACGGGCCTTCATGTTGAACTGAGCGTGATATACTCGATATCCGAAAGTTGGGGTAGGTGTGTCACCGGAAGTGACGTGCACTTGATAGAAGCTATGTGGATAAGCTGCTTCCAACATACATCGCTGGAGCAAAGCATGCTGGCAACAGCTTATCCACGCAACTTCTATCAAGTGCACGTCACTTCCGGTGACACGCCTACCCCAACTTTCGGATATCGACTGTACGTAGTTAAGGCCAAAATTTTTTCCTAGATTGACAACCTTAGAAGAGGTCGTGTAAAACAATTTATATTGTTGGTAGGATAGTCGGTCATGAGGTTATAGATGTTCCGTTTTCACTGCTTAGATACGCGCGGCAGTGGACTAGTACTTTACAAAGGTACTAATAGGAGCAAATGTGAGCTGATGGATGAGATATTTTGCGCCCACTCTTAGCACGCAACGTGAATTACGACGTAGCGGATAAGGCATCCGATAGGTAAATGAATATGATAGCCTCGTCTAGATATACACTTTCCTCGCCAACATTATCAGCCGCTGCTATCCCACCAATCTGTTGAGGGGTTGTTGCCTTAATTTTTATTCAAGTTTTGTTCGTTTCATTTATTATTCAGAAGTATCGTCAAGACAGAATTGTAGTATGATTTCTAGCTGTCAATCCACACAAATAACGACGAATTTTTCTACGTTGGTGGTCACCCTCCCTCTGAAGGTCGTACAAGCCTGCGCTCTCGCGGGACCATTAGCAGACAGGTAGATTCGAGATATTATTCCTTACTTGTTGCTATTTATTTTTCTTTGTTGATTATTTTTTCGCACCTTCGTCATTGAATTTTATTCTATTTTTCATTTTTTATTTAGCGCTTTTCCTTCTTCATGATCTGTTGGTTTTTCATTCATCTTTAGTAGTGACACGTTTGGTAGTAAGTATGCCAATGATATTGAAACGTCACATGCGAACCTTTTCAAAAAATACTAGAGGTTGGCGAATCCAGAGATCCATTATCACTCGCCACAGTATTACAAGCGTTTGAACGTTCGCTGTGTAACTGGTGGAACCGAGAAGTGCACAAGCTCAATCTTTTCTTGTCGGAGAGTTGCTACCAGTTCCAGACCGCTGGCACAGTCTGGGCTGGTTGCATCAACAGCCACGCTTGCCGCTGTGTTTTTTCCACAAGGATCCTTAACCTCCATTGTGCTCAGCGTTTCTTGATGTTGTGATACGTAAAATTTGCTCAGTATTTCAACATTCAGAGCATGCTGCGATCGTCGGAGTTCCTCTCTGGTACGCAAGACGATGAACTGGCAGCAGAAGCACTTGGAGCCACTTTCAGTCCACAGGTAGCGAATATGGATTCTATGTGCTATAAGAACAGCTACAAACTTTTCATTCTAAGTCAATGAAATCGAATTTTGGCGATGGCGGAGATCTTGATCACGAAGATAACGAAATTTTCGAGGACGCTCCTCAAGTATGAGTCTCCTAATGTTAACGTTTCAGTTAAACTTCGATTCTTTACATAATTTTGTTCAGCCTGAGCAGTGGTCTCGCCTGCAGGAAATTCCCACCATTTTACTCAATGGAAAGCGGCTGTCCGGATCAAGCAATGTTAGTCCTGAACATTCTCACTTTTTATACGGTTATTCATGATGACTATAATATGTTTAATCCCGGCTTATTACTTAATTCAGCATGATCAGTAGTTTTAGACTGGCTCCCATTACATAACAGCTCCAGAACAACTAAGGTCTGAGGAGGGCGGCGGTGAAGTTTTGGAAACCATGTCATACCGGAGTGAGCATCTTCCTAGCGAGGTGATTCGCTTCGACTTTATGTTAGACTACATTTGCTATGCCACCAAATTAGTACATGTAATATATCTATATCTAATATATATCTAATATCTAATCATATCTAATCACTCGCCGCAGGTCTATACGTGGCGAGTGATTAGATAGCAGAGAGAGCGTAGTGTTGAAGAGGGCACAGCGATGAGAGTCGCATCAATGCGCAAATCAACGGGCAAGGAAGGGGTCCCATTTCCTGAACAATCGGTACATTTCCTTGCATCACTTGTAAAGTCTTTACTCAAAGACTACGCACGGATCTAGGAGGCCCACAACTACTGGTAAACTCCTCGGCGATAGCGTCTTACGGGAATCCGTGGACTACCTTTCTATCGCTTTCTACTGTGACGATTGTAGTGCTGTGAAAAAATTTCATTGGAGTAAAAAAGTTGGTAGAACTGTGTGGAGATTCTCTTTGTTGATTTCTTCATACGGTAAATCGATTGGCTTATTCATAATGGGCAAATATCGGAAACTCGAAATTTGGGCTGTGTCGTATAGTTTCCATGCTGTCTCTTCTCCTACTACGTGTCAAATTTCATCAAACTTATTACTTAGCTTTGAAATAATATGCAAATGAAGTCTATGTAGTAATACAGAGTCTTCAGTGGAGGAATCCAAACATTTTACTGATTAGGAAAATTGCTTAGTGTTCAAGGTCTTTGAGGCTTATGAATACTACCCTCGTCGTTGTCTATTGGTAGGAACGTTGTTCCAGTAAAAATTCTTTCGCCCATTTCGTCCTGTTCTAATTCCAATAACTTGTCGAATGTGCCGAATAAATCTAAGGGCTCAAGTTATTCTGTGATAAGGTGACTACTACACTCTGTAAACTAAAGTGATGCGTTTCTCACACCATTGTCTCGAAGTCTTTAATTCTATATTGCGAAGTCACACATTTGTGCGATTCTAATTTTCTTGAAGTTTCAGGACCAGCATATTCGTAGTGAGTATAGCGCAACGACCACATTCATCTCAACTGTGTCTACACATAGCTCTCATGAGTCACGGGAGGTTAGAAAAGTAGTCAGGAATAAACAAAGCTATGTAGGTATAATTTTCAGCTAATTATCAATAACCGTCCATATTAAACGGCTGTTCCAGTCCTCAGGCTCCAACGTTGTTAGCGGAACTGATAACACCCAGAGGTCACGATCCACTGCAGACGACTCCACAGCACAGCCACAAAGTCCACAACAATTGTCAGACTCTGTGGTGAATGTGGTAAGTTTCCAAACTCGTTGCTTCATATCTGCCAGATTAAACGAAATTTTTTAAACATCCGGAGAACATCCGGCTTCACTCTTATTTGTAACCAGGTTCAGCACTCGATCCATTTGCCATACGTCAACCTTGATACCAAGGACGGCGGCCAGTTCCAGCGCTTCACCGTTTCTCGTCAAGTATTGGTACATTTCAGTATTTCGAACCACGGAAGGCATTCGAATCTTCGCACTTTGCAGCGCCCTACTCCGCAAAACGTTTCTGATGAAAACGAACCAGCTACTGTTCATGCATCTGCACGAGCTATGTTTTCGTCGTCAGCCAATCTTCATGCCTCTGATAGTCACCATCCTCCCACTGCATCCCGTCAGAGTTTGGTAAGTTTTAGGTTTCACTAAGCAAAGACATATGAAGTATTGCTTTCAGCGGCTGAGCACGCAAAACATCGACGATGAGATCCAGCCGGCCACGGCGGAGATGTACTCATCCAAAGCCAGCCTCCATGCCCCTGATGGTCCTCAAGCTCTCACTGCATCCCGTCAGAGTGTGGTACGTTTAGGTTTGATTACTGGTGAGAAAGACATCTGAAGCAGTATTTTTAGCGAATGAGCACGCAGAACATCGTGGATGAGAACGAACCAGCAACGGCTCGCATATATTCCTCAAGTGGAAGTCTGCATGCCCCTGACCGTCTTCAAGATCTCGCTACATCCCGTCAGAGTATGGTATGTTTCAGATTTGACTAACAAGGGAAGGATACCAGGTCGAAGTGGCCATTTGTAACGAGACATACACCACTAGATGTGTTTTTGGACGCTGATCTCGAATCTGCTCTCCAAATCTGCGAAACGATTCTCTGAACGTAGTTATGAAGCGAGATAGTGCAGTGGCAGCGGCCCGGGCCGACGGAAAAGAGGTCGTGGGATCGAATTCTTGGCGATATCTCACATTTGCTTTCCTTGAGACATTGCTAAAGATGCTTTTATCCATATAAATTATTAGCGATTGCCTATATTACAAGTGGGAATAGCTAGCGAGGAGCATCTAACACTGTGCGCGCCATTCGCAAAAGATCGCCCCTTGTACTCGTAGCGCACGCGTCAGGCGCTTTCGTGCCAAACAGAGGTGATATTCGTATTCAGCGCGTCAAAATGCCCCTTTCCACAACTTTTGGTCCAAATCTGAAATTTGTACCTAACTTTGCAAATGTGGGCAGTCACCGTTGGTCATTTGCACATGGCACGCACACTTGATCGAAACTCCTCGCTATCTCCTCGCACTAGTAATAAAGGCGAGTGCTGATGACTTAGCATAGATGAGGATTTCCTTAACAATGTCCTCAGGAAAAGCAAAAGTCAAAACTCGCCAAAATTCGATCCCACGACCTCTTTCCCGTCGGCCCGGGCCGCTGCCACTGCACTATCTCGCTTCATAACTACGTTCAGAGAATCGTTCCGCAGATTTGGAGAGCAGATTCGAGATCAGCGTCCAAAAACACATCTAGTGGTATGTCTCGTTACAAATGGCCACTTCGACCTGGGATCCTTCCCTTGTAAGAAAATACACATCTGAAGTACTGCTTTCAGCGGCTGAGCACGCAAAACATCGACGATGAGATCCAGCCGGCCACGGCGGAGATGTACTCATCCAAAGCCAGCCTCCATGCTCCTGATGGTCCCGTCCTATTACTGCATCACGTCAGAGTTTGGTACGTGCCCGGTTTGGGTAAGCGATAACATACCTGAAGTATTGCTTTCAGCGGCTGAGCACGCAAAACATCGACGATGAGATCCAGCCGGCCACGGCGGAGATGTACTCATCCAAAGCCAGCCTCCATGCTCCTGATGGTCCCCGTCCTATTACTGCATCTCGTCAGAGTTTGGTACGTGCCCGGTTTGGGTAAGCGATAACATACCTGAAGTATTGCTTTCAGCGGCTGAGCACGCAAAACATCGACGATGAGATCCAGCCGGCCACGGCGGAGATGTACTCATCCAAGGCCAGCCTCCATGCTCCTGATGGTCCCCGTCCTATTACTGCATCTCGTCAGAGTTTGGTACGTTCCAGGTT